GTAATTGAGTCTAGCTCACATTCAAGGGGAAGAGGGTTAAACTCTACCTGTTGAGGGTCAAGTTGTGTGGCATTATTTGATTTTTTCTGTAGGGAAAATGTGTCTCTTCCACCTTCATTTATTTAATCATCTATTTGTCATTACGGGCTCCCGTGTTCTTTTTACAGGGTCATACTCATTTCACCTGGGGTTATATCCAGGTCTGCCTTATCCTTGCTCACATTGTCCTGGCTCTGGCTTTGGGAGCTGCCTTGGGTTGGCCCACGTGACACATGCCATCCTTTTGTTTTGGGAGTGCTTCCTTGCTTTCTGGACCTATGAGATGCTTTAGTTGCACCCTGTGTTTTCCTTCTCCAGCCTCAGCTGTCTTTAAAGAGAAGCCCCGGCTCCTTGTCATGGAGAAGGTGTCTGGAGAAACCCTGGTCTGGGCACTGGTGTGGTCCTGCGGCTGTGGTGTCTCTGTGTCTAGGCCCTCATAGCTCACAGCTACAGGTGCTCTTGCTGCTTAGGGTTTAATCCCAGATCTTCCATTGTTTCTGTACCCACCCATGTGTGTATTTTCACCTGAGTGCCAGTTCTCACTGATGTCTCATAGCCAATCCAACACCACGAAGTTTATTCTAGCGTTCTCCTTCTGCATGATTGTCTGTAGTTTCTTTGTCTGACAGTGAGGACCTGGCTCGTACAGCATTTGCTTTAACGCTAGTGTTCCTGCAGAATAATTTCAGGACTGTTAAGGCAGACTCTGGGAGGCATGCTTAAACATTGAGTATAGTGTTTCTCAAGTATTCTTTCTTTCTTTTTAAAATTAATATTTTTTTTAATTTATGTTTTTGTTTCCCAAGTATTCAAGCAGTTCCTTCTCCTCAGCCAGTTTTGGTGAGGCTGTTTCATACATTTTATAATACAATTGTATACATTTGTCAGTCTGCATTCTAACCTGGCATCCCCTGACACCCTGGTTGATTTCCTTTTTCATTGCATATATTAAAGTTTATTCTGTGATGTACAAAACTCCATGAGTTTTGACAAATTCAGTGTCTTCTTGTTCCCACCACCCCCAGGCAGTTGACTTTTAACTCTCATTCAGGGTTTTTTTGTAATTTTCTTTGCCAGACCTCCTGTCACTCCCTGATTCCCCCTGTTGAATAACTGTGGAACCACACTTCCATTATTCACTCATGAAAAAGGACAGCCTCTCTGTTACTCTTGTGATTTTTTTAAATGCCAGGTTGCATTTCCTCAGATAAAAGCATAATGAGTTAACATGAGGGAAGAGTTCTAGAATTTTAGAAGTTGAAGGCAGGTAGAGATCTATGAGATTTTACATTGGTTGTTGGGCAGGTTGTCCTGACAGGTTGGGTATCTGGGGCAGAGCTGGAATGCAGACTCTGATTTCCCCCCACGACCTTTACTCAGGAGACTTGAGTTAGGAAAGATGGACTGAGGCCAGGGTGGGAGAGATCCTACCTTTGCTGCAGGTGTGAAGCTGTGTTTATGGGTGTGGTCCTTTATCTTTTGTTTTAGGACACAAATTCTAGGAGTCACTTGTTTGTTTAGTGCTCTGTGTGATTTTGGGAAGGATTATGGTATTGTTAGTTATTTGCAAATTCGAGTTTTCAGTGAATTATTAATAGTTCATTCACTTTGCTTTTGAATGCCAATCTAAAATCAAGTGTTCTGAGTGAATAGGTAATTCTGTTAAGGGTGGAGGAAAGACATAATTGTGAAAAGCTACACATGCCACCTTCGTTTTATTGTTGTTGTTGTTTGATTTTTTTGAGGTGGAGTTTTGCTCCTATTGCCCAGGCTGGAGTGCAATGGTGCAATCTTGGCTCTCTGTAACCTCTACCTCCTAGGTGCAAGTGACTCTCCTGCCTCAGATTCCCCAGTAGCTGGGATTACAGGCACCCACCACCATGCCCGGCTTTTTTTTTTTTTTTTTTTTTTTTTTTAGTAGAGGCGGGGTTTCACTACATTGGCCAGGCTGGTCTCCAATTCTTGACTTCAGGTGATCCACCTGCCTCGGCCTCCCAAAGTGCTGGGATTACAGGCATGAGGCACTGTGCCCAGCCACCACCTTTGTTTTATAAGTTTCTACTGGATATTGGTCTCTACTGTATCTTACTAGTTTTAATTTGCTGATTTAAGGAATCTTTGGGAACCATTAAATGCAGTGCCAAACTGGGGCAGTTTTTAAATGTTTTTGTGCTTGCTGGCTGCCAGCACCAAGCTAGACCCTTGATACAAAGATGTGTAAGCTGTGCCCCTTGTCCTCTTGGAGACACAGACATGTAAAAGAATAATAGTTTGTCTGAAGTGCTGTAGCAGAGAGATGACCAGAGTGTAGGTGTGGTTTATGGTAATAGTACTTCAGCTTTTCGTTAGGTCGTTTTCTTTTAAAAAGGGATTTTTAGAGCGTAATTTCACTACCCTGATTACAACTTTGTTGCCCTTTGCTTTTTTTCTTTCCAGCCTTTTCCTACCAACGTAGTTTTACGTAGTTGTGTATACACAATATTGTATTCTGAAATGCTTTTGTTTAATATTTCGCCCTAAGCTTTTCCTGTTTCTCCACAGTACAGTGTAGTGGCTGTATCTGCCTATCTCCGTAATTTATTTTTTTCTCTCAGAAATCTACCATGATCCTTTTTATGCTTCTGTTTTTTATTTGGTGAATTGGTTTCTTAGGCTCTATTTCCTGGAGTGAGGTTACCGGGTCAAAGAGTATGAATGTTTTACAGCTCTTGAAATATAGTGCCTGCTGTTTTACAACACCGACAGCGTCACTTGAAAGCTGCCAGATTAGACTCGATCCCTGCTACTCTCAGACTTCATCATTCCGCACTTTTTGCTCTTGATTCCAGGGTCGGAGCGCGGTGGGCCCTTCTGCCTAGGCAATCGGACAGGCTCACTTCCCGACCTTTGCATGCCCCCCGCCCATGCCCCGTGGATCCTCTCCTTGGAGGTCCTGCCCAGAGCCAGCTTCTCCTTTCAGGTCCTGGTTAGAAAGCCACTTCTGGTGAGATGCCTTTGCTTCCACCGTGGGCCAGCAGCCCCTTCCCACCCAGGCGTTCTTCACCACCTTGTAAAGCTGGGAGATGAGTCCCGGCTGCCTCTGAACTCCCTGCTGAAGGAGGCGGGCAGGGTTGGGCTCTTACCTCGTTTTAGCCTCTGTTTTAGTTCTGCCGTGCTTCTTCCCAAGATGTTTGAATCTAAGGAACAAGCTGCCTTTTCTAGGTCTCCTTGGAGGGGTGAGGGAGGGTGAGCCAAGAAGGGAGTGGTCACTTACTGTCTCCTTTCATCTTAATGTCTCTTAATGAGATTATAGAGAAAAAGCCAGTAATTTCTAATGATTTTTAAATAGTTTACAAATCACTGTAAATGTAAAGTGCTATGTAATAAAAGGATTTGAGGTAAAGAAGTTGGATTAGAAATTACCATTTCTAGAAGTGAGAGGATGAAGCAGGCCTAATTTTAGATTTTTAAACAATCTATTCTGTTTTAGCTAGTGTACAGTATTTTTAAATTGAGGGATAAAACAGCATTTTCTTATTCTAAAGAATAGAATGTTATTTGACTCATGGGGTGTTGTTTTGTTTTTTTCTTATAAAGTAACATGTTTTTGTTGAAGTATTTACCTAGAATTCAGAAAGTGATTTCTTCTTTTACGAATGCATCTTGAGAAGGTTTTCTTTGCCTCTCAGTGAGATTTCATCACAGCTAACTTTCCAACAAAGCATGGTGACTGCTTTTATTATGAAAGTTGGTGAGAAGTGAGGTGAACTCTACAGTGATGTCCAGTAGAGTTTTCTGAGGTAATGGGAATGTTCTGTGTCTGTGCTGTACAATTAGTATATGGCTTCTGGTCTCCTGTGACCACTGAACACTTGAACTTAATTTTGAATTTAATTTATTTTAAACTTACTTTCAGCGTAGCCACACATTGGATAGTAGCTTTAAAAACTTAAGGTTAAGAGTGACACACATTTTTCTCCTCTAAGGCCCTGTGGAGAGTTAATGGTCCATTGTTACTGGGATCACCTGATGTAGTTTAAAATTCTGTTCTCTAAATTACCTTGTCCATTGTAGAAACAAAAAAACCTGTCAGAATTTTAGTTGGATTAATGAGTATGTGAAACAGCAGGAGAGAATTTGGTGGTCTTGGACTGTAAATCATTTCGAACATTTTTTCCAGGTCTTTCTGGTATATTTTCAGGACTAGAGAGAGTCCAGAGGACTGACTTCTCAGAGGTGTTGCTTCTCTGCTTCCTCCTTCGTGTGTGGTGGAAAGTTGAGGTAGTGTGGATGTTACAGTGGGGATTCACCAGAAGTAAAGAGGCTGGTTTCGATTTTTCATCACTGAAGAGGCAGTTGATGTAGACCTAGCCCTGACATTGTGTGTGGGACACAGAATAAGCTTGTGGCAGTTACATTGAGAGTGAACGGGTGTATCCTTATATGGCCTCCACATGTGGAAGGCCTTAGGAAGATAAGAACTGGCTGACAGGTAGGTGAGGGATCATACTTTTATTTTTAAAATCTTGATGATTTCACTTATCTGACACATTTGATCTTCTTTGAAGAAATTGTTTTGGTTTCATTGACAGTGGGTGGCTTCTTTCTGTCTCCTTCTTTCCCACGTCTTTATTTTCTTGTGTTTTTCTCTTCCTCTCTTCCTTGAAAATGCTGTCATGGGGTCAGCTGGCTTTGTGTATTTTCAAGCAGAGTGATCTTTGAGCTTGATAAGAATTAAAAATTGATTTGCAGTCTAGATGGGATCATAAGTTACTGATAGAAGATGATTTGAATTCGATTTCTCACAGAAATTTCTCAGTGGAGCAGTGTTACAAACTTTATTATGGCATTTTTTGACTGTTTGGCTTTCATGTATAGTTTTAATAAATGTGATTTTACAGGTTCTGTACAACATGTCTGCTTATTGAGCTTGCTGCTTCAGTGTTACCCGACATTGATGAAGTTTTCTTCTCGTTTGCCAGGTTGCACAGAGCATTGAAGATCACCATCAGGAAGTGATTGGTTTCTGCAGAGAGAATGGTTTCCATGGCTTGGTTGCGTATGACTCTGATTATGCACTGTGCAACATCCCCTACTATTTCAGTGCCCATGCCCTGAAACTGAGCCGGAATGGGAAAAGTCTCACCACAAGCCAATATCTGATGCATGAAGTTGCCAAGCAACTGGACCTGAATCCAAATCGTTTTCCTATTTTTGCTGCTCTCTTAGGTAGGTGGAGTAGTGTGAAAACTGTTTTATAAGAGAGTGACCGTATGATGAGCACATTGATCCTTTAAGTATTTCAGTGCTTCAGTGTTTTGGATATATATTTCACACTGAAAAGAACCAAGGCGTGGGCTCTTCCTTAGCATTCCTTGCTTTGTATTATTTTTTGGTATAGTTAATGTGCTACTTTTGTTCTTAAGTGTATGTTGAGGTATTGTTCTGTCCAGGAATTGTTTAGATTAATTTTGTGAATAAACTCACTTAAGGTTTCGGAAAACCAGCATTCTAAATCACAGATGTCAACACATGGTCACTATGTAAATTAGACATTTAAACCTTTGGCATAAATTATGTTTATAATAGAAGAAAATATGCTATGGAGTTAGAACGGTTATGTTTTCACCTCATTTTCAGGACACTCACTAGTTTAAAAAAGAAAAACAAAAATAAACTTCATACCTTGTTTCCAGCACCTATATTTTAAGTAAATGTATACATGTCTTTTAAAAATTTCCTTGGAGGAATTCCTTTTTTTTTTTTTTTTTTTTTTTTTTTTTTTTTTGAGACGGAGTTTCGCTCTCGTTACCCAGGCTGGAGTGCAATGGCGCGATCTCGGCTCACCGCGACCTCCGCCTCCCGGGTTCACGCAATTCTCCTGCCTCAGCCTCCTGAGTAGCTGGGATTACAGGCACGTGCCACCATGCCCAGCTAATTTTTTGTATTTTTTTAGTAGAGACGGGGTTTCACCATGTTGACCAGGATGGTCTCGATCTCTCGACCTCGTGATCCACCCGCCTCGGCCTCCCAAAGTGCTGGGATTACAGGCTTGAGCCACCGCGCCCGGCCTGGAGGAATTCCTTATGCTGAATACTCAGAAAGGACGAAAATCTTGTTTTAACTATGACATTATATTTTAATTTTCTTTAATTAAAACTAATTTCCTAAGAGGTAATATATTTGTCTGTCACTTTATATTTGCATTGTATATTTTCTTTCTTTTCTCTTTTGTCAACTACCCTTTCTTAATGCTTTCACTGTGCTTGTCTCACCCTACTAATATCCAGCTTTAGTTTGCTGAGAGTTTGTAAGAATTGTGTTCAAATATAAGTAAACATGTTTTGGAGGGATGCACTTCTGTGATTAGAATCCATAAATCTTACGGGATTTGGGGCTGTTTTGGACACACAAGGCCCGTTTGGGAAGCTGTGTGGTCTCCAGTGCTCAGTTACTGGCCTCCCTTGAAGTTTGTATTCTATAGAGCAGGCATCCCCAAACTTTTTACACAGGGGGCCAGTTCACTGTCCCTCAGACCATTGGAGGGCCGCCACATACTGTGCTCCTCTCACTGACCACCAGTGAAAGAGGTGCCCCTTCCTGAAGTGCGGCGGGGGGCGGGATAAATGGCCTCAGGGGGCCGCAGTTTGGGGACGCCTGCTATAGAGGCTGGCAGCCCAATCCAGTCCTGTTCAAGAGGGGATTATATTGTGGGTTATTTTTAGAAATTCCTGGTTTTCAGAAAGATTTTTTTTTTTTTTTTTTTTTTTTTTAGCTGGGATTACAGGCTAATTTTTTGTATTTTTAGTAGAGACGGGGTTTCACTATGTTGGCCAGGCTGGTCTTGAGCTCCTAAGCTCTTGTATTTTTAATAGAGACAGGGTTTCACTATGTTGACCAGGCTGATCTTGAACTCCTGAGCTCAAGTGATTCACCCACCTTGGTCTTTGCTGGGATTACAGCGTCCAGCCTTTTTTTTTTTTTTTTTTTTTTTTTTTTGAGACAGGAACTCACTTTGTTGCCTAGAATGGAGTGCAGTGGTGCAATCTCGGCTCACTGCAACCTCCACCTCCCAGGCTCAAGAGATCCTCACACCTCAGCTTCTCAAGCTGATGGTACTAGAGGTGCACGCCTCCACATCTGGCTAATTTTTGTGTGTTTTTCGTTGAGAACAGGGTTTTACCATGTTGGCCAGGATGGTCTCCTAACTCTTGAGCTCAGGGCAATCCACCCACCTGGGCCTTCCAAAGAGCTGGGATTACAGTCATGAGCCACCACACCTGGCCACACAGTTTTTTATGTATTATTTTGTGAGAGCTTTACTATATGAGTCAGTCAACAAAATTGTGATTTCACAAGTTGTGTTTGTTTGGATCTAATATCAAATACAGTCCTTAATAAGGCAACTCTTGTGCCTTTGGGGATTTGGGGATTAAATCTAATCTTTTAAATATATTTTCAAATATTAAAATATAAAAGGATATTTCCTCTGATGTTAAAGGTGAGTATGGGGATGGCACATTATATGGAAAGTTCCACATTTGCTTAAATGCTATGCAAAATAACTTGGCATATTAATTGACTTTGAATGAATGTGAAAATCATATACTCTTAGAATATGGTTACCTTAACTCATTTGAAAAATGGAAGAATACTTGTTTAACTTATTTAGGAAACATTGAATATGGTATTTGGAAGATAATGCCAACTGATACTTTTCTAGCTTGTTAGTTTGTGAAGTTTTGAAATAAATGAAAAACAAAATCAATTGTAGTATGTTGCCAATTTAGGGCTTGGAATCTCTTCAAAAAGTTCAGTCATGTTTTATAGGTAAGCTCCTGAGGTTTTTAAATTTTTTTTATTTTTGTTGTTTTTGAACTGGAGTCTCGCTCTGTCGCCAAGGCTGGAGTGCAGTGGTGTGATCTTGGCTTACTGCAACCTCTGTCTCCCAGGTTCAAGCGATTCTCCTGCCTCAGCCTCTCAAGTAGCTGGGATTACAGCTGTGCACCACCACACCTGGCTAGTTTTCAGCACGTTGGCCAGGCTGGAAAAGTTTCAGTGTCCTCAAATGAGAAAGCTTATTTTTCTTTTCCCTTCTGTAATAGAAAGTATATAAAGTATTTTGTTATAGGAATGTTGGAATATTCGTTTAAGTATTTCACCCAAGTTTTCACAGAGACTATTACTAATGTTGGAGTTGCCTTAGTATTCAAATTAAAGCCTCCAAAATTTCAGACACTTCATTCTTCACTGTGAAATTCTATGTAATCCATTAACAGAGGAATGCAATATCAAGCACAGCAAACCTGGGCATTTACGGTTTAAATTTGCTCATTTGGACATCACGGGAGTTCAGTACCTCTGGATTGTGTGTTTGTGTGTTTGTGGAGCGTCCCTCATCCGAAATGCTTAGGACCAGAAGTATTTTGGACTTTAAATATTTTCAGATTTTGGAATATTTGCCTAATGAAATATCTCAAGAGGTGGCACCCAAGTCTAAGCATGAAAGTCATTTATGTTTCATATATACCTTATACATATAGCCTAAAGGTAATTTTATAAAACATTCTAAATAATTTTGTGCAGGAAACCAAGTTTTGACTGCCTTTGACCCATCTTACGAGCCCAGGTGTGGAATTTTCCACTTGTGGCATCATGTTGATTTTGCATCATTTAGGATTTTTGGACTATGGCTGCTCAACCTGTATAATAATGTAGCAATATTCCAGATGGTCTTAGTTTGTTTTGCTTTTTGTTAGTAGTTAATTAATGAATCTTCTGTCATAAGGTGGAGGTGATTAAGCAATGTTATAAAAATCATGTTTAGGAAATTACTGCTTTGAGATTGCAGTGAGATAGCTAACCTACTAAAGATCAGGTATATCAGGAATACGAACATTATTGTGAAAGTAGAGTGTTCCCCTCAAATATAGTTTCTCAATTGAATACAGTTTTGTTTGTACACTGTGATACACTGGTGATAGGATGAGCAGCTTAATAGCCTCATGAGTATTGTGGGATAGGCCTTTTCACATATGTTTGTGGGTGGTGATGGAAATTATAGGAGAAGGGTGTTGATTCATGTTACAATCAGCAGTCATTGTCATTTAATCTTGCTAAGAAAGATTTTATAATTGTGCAGATTTCATATTGGGTGTTTTTTGTAATTTTGAACCGTAGCTATTTCATGAACAGCTGAAAGCTTGAACCATAGCCATTTCATGAACAAATGAAAACTTGAATCTAATTAGTATTTGATATCCTGTCATTGTCAGACTGACCTTTTGCAAACTGGTGTTTATTTTAAATATTGTGCTGCGAAGTTGCTTAAGTTTTATGCAGCTCTTAGGTTGAATGCTGTTAGGACTCCACTAGAAATTCCTATCATTCTCAAGGCAGCTGCAAGGATTTTTGCCTGCAGTATGTTGCTTTGTGTTAAAAGATGAAGACTTGTTCTCAGTTTCTGTTTGGGAGTTTTCTGTTATAGATGACAATATGAAGTGCTTTTTAAAGTTTCCCTGTGTTACTTAAGATGATTGCTTTTATGTTATCCATGTTTATATTCCAGGAAATCACATTCTGCCTGATGAAGATCTGGCTTCCTTTCATTGGAGTTTACTCGGTCCAGAACATCCACTAGCCTCACTAAAGGTACAAATTTCACTTTATTTTTCTAGCATTTGTAATAATCAACTGTGAGTTTGCTGTTGCTTTAATAATGTTAGACCCTTTATTGGTGATGCTAGCAAATTAGCAATATCATGTTTTCCCCTAATTGCAGGGTCTGCACTGCCTTAAAAAGCAAGCAACAATGCAACCATCCCTTGTTCTCAATACCTACATGTTAGGTAAATGTATAAGTGTCCTTGAAAATTTCCCCTAAGGAATTCCTTGTGCCGCATACCTAGATAGAAGGAAATCTTTGAAGTGATGTTTTATATATTAATTTTCTTAAAAGTTTTAATTTTTCTCTAGGTATTATAGTCACTTGGCACTTAGAGCAACATCTTTTGCATAGTTGATACATTTCATAACCAATTTTCTACAATTATTGTCTGAAGCTTTTTGGATGGCAGAGGAGACTCAAATTCATTAGAGAAATGATCCATTTATACTGTTTTATTAAAACTTAATATTTTTCTCCCTTTTGATTCCCTTCCTGTTTGTGATAGTAATGGACAGCAGAGAGGAGGCACTTAACCCTGATTTTCTACAGTGGAAGGTGTCTGTGTTTGATTGGCACGAGGCACTGGGAAACTTCAGCTTGGACTTGTTAGTGACCCCTGGGATTGTAATGATCGTTTGTCAGCTTCAAGTGCCTTTCATGACTTGGGGAGTTGGGAAGACGGGAACCCAGACTTTGTATCTGCTTCCCACCCTGTGACTGCTTCCTTACAGCACAGGGTGGCGGTTAAATTGGGTGGTTTCCGAAGGGATGCTTTCCTGTAAAATTCTGAATGCTGCCGTAATTACCCTCCCTCCATACAGTTTTAATCGGTGCCAAGTTTCAAATGGGAGTTTTTCTTCCTACATTTTAGTTTATCTTTAACGTTGGTGATGATGCCGAAAAGCTTAAGTAGAATGCCTTTCCTCCTTTCATTTTGTTCCTTGCGATTTCAGACTCTTTTTTTTCCTTTTCATCTCTGGCATGTTGTAAAATATTCCCCTTTTCACCCTAACGGGGTTTGGTATGAACTGTTTTCAACTTCTTGTTCGAAAATCAGTTTTTCTCCTCTTGTTAGAAATGACTTTTTTGGCCACAGAATGCCTCCTGTGTGTTTTCATGAATGCAGTGATGTGATCTGTCATCTGGGTGATGCCATGATTGAAATGCGGACTGGGAAAGGGCTAGATTGGAGAGCACTGCGCCTGTGCTCAGTAGAGCTGGTAAACATTATGCTTTTATAAGAGAGACATAAATGAAGGCTTGTTTCCTAGAAGATTTGTTTTGTTTTAAAGAGCAGGAGTGAGATACTCCCAAGGTCTCTGGCTATATGTGTATGTTTAAGTTAAACTAGCCCTGCTTCATATGTCACAGGGTTAGAAGTAAAGAGCTGTTTGAAGAATTATTGGAAAACCAGCTCAATCTATTGACAAGTGATTCACATCATTTACATGTGTATTTTTCCTAAATTTTGTTAAGAAAATCTTTAAGTATTAAAATGTGGAAAGAACAGAGAAATGTGTATCCATATATCCACCATCTTGGTTCGATAATTATGAACATTTTGCCATAAAGCATATGTCTGTGTTTTGTTTTGTTTAACAAAAATTATTTGGAAGTCTAACTTGCAGCTGTAACTCTTTACCCATGAAAACTTCAGCTTGCTCCACCACTTCTTAAAAGTAAGGACATTCTCTTACTTTATCGTACTACTCCTACCACATCAACTAAATCATAATTCTCTAACATTATTTTTTCTGAAACAGGGTCTTGCTCTGTCACCTGTGCTGGAGCGCAGTGTCTAATATCATTTAAGTCCATATTCAGTTTTTTTCAAAGTCATGTATAGGTGTTTTTTTTTTTTTTTTCTTAATTGGGATCCAGTCAAGCTTTATGCATGCATTTTGATATTAGCTGAGTACTTTTATGGCATATTAGAGAAGCAATTCTAAATTATTTTTCAGATGACTTGATAAGTTGTAGGATTTTAAAGTCACACCTGAAATGCAAGCATACCAGGTTTTGAGATAAGTTCAGAAATTGCATTTGTTAGCCACTGTTTTGTTTTTCTTTTTGTTTTTTTTTCAGATAGAGTCTTGCTCTGTCACCCAGGCTGGGGTGCAAGGGCAAGATCTCGGCTCATTGCCATCTCTGCCTCCTGAGTTCAAGTGACACTCCTGCCTCAGCCTCTCGAGTAGCTGGGATTACAGGTGCCCACCACCACACAGGCTAATTTTTGTATTTTTAGTAGAGGCAGCGTTTCACCATCTTGGCCAGACAGGTCTTGAACTCCTGACCTCCAATGATCTACCCACCTCGGCCTTCCAAAGTGTGGGATTATAGGCGTGAGCCACCACACCCAGCCTACTTTAATGTTTTGCCCTTCATTCACATTTCTGTATGCGCCACCGTGTCAGTCATTTGACTGCAGCTGGGGGAACTGGATGCAGTTTTCTCCCCACGAGCATGACGGTGAATGTGTCCCACTTGCGATTTCAGTCTCTGGTTTTCTTAGTTAGAAAACCAATTGCATCTTTTGAAAATTTGGATAGTTGTTACATATCTCCAAGGTATTTTGAGTTTTATTTTTTGAGAGATTCTTTACATTTTTGTATTGTGTTGAAATGATGAGAGGTTTAAGATTATGGTATTGCATTTTAAGAGGTGCTTTGAACTGATTAGGTATTAACGTTATAGAACATCAACACTCTGTGAACGATAATAAACTGTGGCTTTGGCAAAATAGTACAAATATCATATGATAAAAGGGATGAGCCAAGAAGGCTCACACTTGAGGATGCAAAATCACGTGTCCTTAAACAGCTGTTTTTCCAGTAGACTGTGTTAGAAAAGGAACCAATAAAAATCATGAGAAAATTGTATCTTTTTACCATCTGATGAAAATCAGAAAATACCATGGATAGGAAGTCATTAGTAGTCAATGATTTATGTGATTCCAAATCTTCAGGATGTTGGTTAACACTCCCGAGTTTTTACTTATTTTATTTATAAGTAGCATCCTTAGACTCATCTTCTAAACACATGTCTTTACCAATTTCACTACATGCATTCATTCATTCACCGTGAATTTTTAACTCTCCAGCTGTCATCGAACCAGCTACATCAGTTAGAAATTGCAAAGTCGGCCCTCACTGTCCACAGCCCTGGTTGTGCTGAAAGAATAGCATGTCTGCTTTGGGGCTCTGCGGTCTCAGAAGCACAAGGGAGAATAGCTGTTAAATTGTCGGGTAATAACTGCAAAGGGGAAAGCTAGGATGGGAACCAGATTCTGTTTTATCCTGTTTAATTAGTTAGTAGTAGATTGTGCTTATTCCTAACTTATGAAGGCAAGTTGGGCATACTTAGAACCTGAAATTGGTAGAAGGCATTAAGAAATAGGGTATAAGGTGACTTTTTCATACCTCAGTGGGAGCCTTAAGAGCTCCTAGGAAGGTGAGTGTCGAATTTCTCAGGATTAGATGCAAAGAATATTTCATATATGCTCAGGACAGTTGGGCCATTTCATGTAACATGTAAAATTGTAGGATGGGGTTGGGGGTCAGGTAGCTTCTAAGATGTGGTCAATTCTATCACGAGAGAAAGAAAACAAGAGTTATGTGTTCCCTCCCTATTCTTCCGGAGACCTGGCTGTTGAGATTCCTCACTGCAGTCCTGGAGATGCCTAAAGGCTGGGCTGGAGTGTGACCTCTGTCTGTACCCAGTCCCAGGCCCAGCAGAGCAGGGAGCCTGGCAGCAGATGATACAGAGCAGGGAGCCTGGCAGCAGATGATACAGAGCAGGCTGGACCAGGGTGGGTAAAACCCCAGGGATGCACAGGCACCCAAGCTCTAAATAAGTTACTCTGTTTGATTGGAAATGTAAGAATCATTTATGTACCTGGAAGAGTTGAGATGCACTCCTGGAATGCCTCCCCAACAATGGGGAAGGCCTTCCAGCGTACATTCCATTTCCTTGCTCATTTAAACTTTTTCTGATGGCAGTATTTTTTAAAAGGGTCGTATCTTTAATAAGGAAAATACATTGAATATCCTTTCAGTGTGTTTTTGGACTCTGTGTTAGGAGGATTCATGATCGTATTTACAGTAATGAAAAGTGGGCTGGATGTATGTTGGTCTTTCAAAGAGGCTCCCACTGCTTGTGTTGCTTTGGGCTGCTATGCTCCTTTCATGGTTTTGGTGTGGCTGACAGTGTTGTTGCATGAGAGAAATGGAAGACCTCAGGCAGCCTGGTACTCACAGAGCTGAGCCCACAGAGCATGGACTTCAGTTCCGGGCCCAGCTTCTGTGTCCCTTCAGGTGATGTCCCATGCCTGCCTCCTCCTGTGCGCTGAGAACGGTCAGCTACTCTGTCTGCCTGATCATAAGGCTTAGCGAGCCTGTGGGTGCCCTGTATAGCTGGCATGGACTGTGCCCATCAGAGCGGGACTGTGGCTGTGGCAGTCCACCCTGGCTGTGGACGCGTGCTAAGTGAGCAGTTTTTAAAAATGTGCTTTTGGGGTTTTAAAAATTGTATGATTTTGGGTCCTAATTGGTTATGAAAATATTTTATTTGGGGTGGGCATTGTGTTGTTCTAATGTTTAAAAATGTTTATAGAGAATTGCTGTCTTTAATTTTTTTTTAACGTAATTTCTTGTTGCCTCTGGTTTTCCTGAATCTTGGGTTTCTAGAACACTTTATAGAAGGCTTTTTGTCATTTGAGTGTTCTACATTCTATCGACCTTGTCTTTGGATGTAACATTTAAGTTGGACCTGTTTAGTTTCAGGTCATTGTATTCATTTTAATGGTTTTTGTGTTCCTGAACTTCATATTCAGTTTCAAAAACTCAAAAACTTTGTCTCCAACCCTGCCAGTTGTTCGTGACTGCCAAGTATTCCCAACCACTGAGCCCTTTGAGCGCCTTCTGCCTCCTTGTCTGGGACACCCCAGCTTGCAGATCTTATGTGGGTTGATCCTTTCCTGAGACTT